CCTGGGAAGCCCAGGATTATGACTAGTGTGGAGAAGGCACTGCAGGGATCTGCTCCGGTTCAGAGGAGAATCTGGAGAAGATCTGTCTGGCAGAGTCACCTCTATGCAACCTGGGAGGGACATCATCTGACTTTGGAATTTTTTTGGTGTGCTTGGCCCATAAACAGACACATGACTTTCTTCCACCTGGTCTCTGCAACCTCTTGGTTGAAAGCAAACACATGTTGCATCTCTTCTGTTCCGCTGGAGAGCTTGGCTTTTCCATCCCTGTTTCCATTTATGAGCTCATTTATCCCATCTATCTTTCTCCCACATCAAGTCCTGATTAGGCTGAGCAGGAACACAACAGGCTTGCTTTCCCACAGGAGGCTCTTTTTGACCTTCCTTTCCTCTCCTTGTCTGACAAATTGTGGGAGCTGACCCATATCTCAGCGGCTGCCGGGATAATTCAGTCCAGCCCCATCCTGGCAGGCAGCTGTCTCTGCAGCCCTTCTCCGCTGCCTTGCTGGTTGAGAACAAGTGGCTGGGACATCTCGGGCCGGCTGTCGGCAGGGTTGGGAGCAGGCGTTCAGGTTAAATAAGAACCAGTGCTAACCTTTGCCCCAAACCCAATCCGGCTGGGAGGTTGGGCTCTTCTGAAATCAGCTGGTTCTGCGAGACAGACAGTGATGAATTGGAGAGGTTTCTTAGTCCTGTCATGCCTCTCTTTCCCATCTGTGAAGGGGATGGTGAAGGTAACAGATTGAGGGATATTCTACGGTGAATATCTAACATTCAGGATCCTTGTAGTGGCATACTCGCCTCCTGAGCAAGGTGCACGTGGCACATTGAGGGACTCTGGTCTTTTCTGGACCCTGGGCATGACTAGAACATGAAGAACCGGCTTGGATATCTACTTTAAGTTATTTTCCATAAGAAGCAGTTTTTATAATGCATCTCCTGCTACCTAATATGTTCCTTGGAAGACAATTCACAGGGACAAAAGCCCCAACTGTCTTTAGCAGGTACAAATGTCTTCAGTGGCTTGTATCGTACTTCCATACCCTTGGAAAGCAGCACATTTACACAGCGCAGGGTCCCTGCTGCACACAGAGAAATGATCACAAAAAACTTGCCTTTTTAAGAAAAAGCAGGTTTCTGACACCTGCTATTGGGTTCTTCACACAGCTCTTTTCCCAAGCGCTGGCTACGTTTGTTCCAGCACAAAGCTCTTGTGATCCAGTCCCAGCAGCCTCTAGAACAGTGTGTCCATAGCAGCTTCAGAACTTCCTCCTCTTCCTCATCTTCTTCCCACCAGTCTGGTTTTAGCAGCTGTAGCCTTCACCCCAGGCTTAACATGGTGTAACAGGATCCTCTGGCAGGGGGAATCTTTAGTGGCTGATAAAACCTTAACTGTTGTGAAATGAAAGCAGGTTCCCTTTGAAGTGCGCCTCGCATTACAGTTAGATGCTCTAGCCTCTATATTTTAACTACCAATAAAATGATTTATAAGCATAAAGGCCTGAGCCACCTTTAAGGCGGGGGAAGGGAAAGAATTGCTAACGTCATTAGCTGGAATGTATCTTCTTTTTTTCTGGGGGTTATAAATAAGGGGCAGAATCAACCTGTTTGGGCCATGAAATGTCCCTTCCTCTGCACGGGAAGATAAATCCTATCAATTTCTTTGTGGAAGGTTTCAGTGGATTTGTGGCTGGATTCCCCAGCCAGGCTCTGTTAGGAAGCACTACCTTTAAGCATCTAGTTGTGAATCTCATTTGGTGCGTGTGTATGTACTATTATTATCATTTATTATTTGTTTTGTTATGATGCTCCAGTCAAGACAGAGATCTTCTATTGCTGGGTGTGGTGCCTACTGGCAGTTAGAGAGCCTCTCTCAGATGGCTGATTGTTGAAATAAACTAAAATGTAAGAAAACATGTTTTTTCTCCTCAATTTAGTGGTGGTGGTCTGATGCATGGGTTGTGTAGGGACCAAAGTTTGTTGAATACAGGAGTGTTTCCACTGACTTTAAATCAGACAAGCAATAGCTTTCCTGAAGTCACAGAAGGAGCCCGTAGCATAATTAAGAACCGACTGTCTTTCTCTGGTGATAGTCCACTGGCCTGAAAATTAGCTTTCCTTTCTTCACAAACATGCAGACCAGTGTATGCAAGACACCCAAAAATGGCCCACGCACAGGCCTTTTTGGTCAACTCTACCTGGTTGTAAAAGAATCCAGAATATTGTTTTATCTCCCTTAAAAAATAGAGGAACTACACACCCTTTAACTGGATGTGGAGAAGCAAGACAAGTCGTACACGTGTGTGTGAATTTTAATTCTGAACAACGAATGCAAATATGCGTGTGGGACAACAATAACCTCACGTGGCGTAACATAAGCCAACACCACTATTTTCAAAGTTGTGTTTTGATCATATGCTAGCCAACTGACAAACAGAAGGGGAGCCAAGGACTTGGGGGGTGTTTTTGAAGAAACATGTCCCGCACTAGACCATCTCACTCCATATGTTTCTTCTGAACTTCTAATCCCTAATGGATTTGCCAGCATCTGTCTCTTGGTTATAAAAAAGGAACTTTCCCACCCTTTGCAATGTTGGGGAAGTGTTAGAAATCACTGGAGTGGCTTTTACTTTCTTGGAGTTCAGTTTCTCTAAAAAAAAAGAGCTGTTTGGTTAAGTTTTCTCTTCAAGTACTTGAATTCTATATGCTATTCTCAGCATTGAGATATTTCCTTTTTTTTTTGGACTGGAAGCTCTTCCGGTCTGGGAATAGACCTATTTCTCTGAAGAGAGAAGGTTTATTTATCTCCTTATGTTCAGCTAACAGAAATACTCACTTAGTTTTGATGTCTTTGACTGTGAAAAGTGGAAGCAAATGATGTGGGAGGAGGAGCCAGGTTCTGTATCCTTAATTCAAAGCATGAATTACACATACATGTATGCATAAGAAAAGGACATGACCGTCCTCTTTGCACGACCAAGGCAAACAAAAGGTTATTTATTCATTTGCATTGCTCACTGCTCCTAGAAACTGTGCCATGGATTGGACTGTCTGAAAGAGTTGTAAAGTACTACAGACCTTAATGTTCATTCATTTCTCTCTCCTTAACTCTGTCCTAGATTTTGCTAGCGACTTTCGGTGCCAAAACTGGACACAGAGAATCTGACCTGCATGGACTTTGTTGATCAATGCAGATCGGATGTAAGCTGACCTATTTCTGTCACGCTCTTGGAAGGTGCTAAGAGGTTATGCTGCTTCAGCCAGTAGTGCAGTACAGTAGGAATAAGTCTGTAAAAAGATGCATTTGGTGCCAAGGACCTGACATCAGCACTGTATATATTTAATGGGGGCTTAATTTAGACCAACTTGTCCAAAGAAAACCGGGTTTCTTTTGTTTTCACTGTACATGGATGTAAATAACTGTGAAGAACTGCCCAGGACTAGGTCCTTCCCAGCCATCAGCAGCAGGTCACACACAACTGTAACTAACAGGTGTTAAGCAAACTATTCCCACAGCATGCTAGTAGGTGAGTAACACCTAGAAAGAGCAATAATAGACTGTTATCCAGAGAACCTCACAGATATTTGTGTGTGAAGCTCGGCGTATGCCTGCTTTTGCAGCCAGCACCACTGAAGTGGATGTGGACTGAGAGCCAGCATTCCCTTAAATAAGCATCTCTCAGGGAAAACACGTTGCCTTGTCATGCCGAGTGAATTATACATACCCACAGTTGCCAGTAAGAAAAAAGGCAAACTAACAAGTGACCGTTTACAGGAGACTCAATTTAAAGGCTCTCCCACTTTGAGGTTCGGGTCACGTCTGAATTACAATGCACATCGGACTAAGGTTCTGCTATATTTGGGACAGAGAGTTCTGTTTTCGTTCACAAGATGTGGGGGCAGTTGGGACTGCAGTGCCTCAAACCCTTGTAACCCCAGCTTCTGATCTGACGTCGAGCAGCTTGGAAGCCTGATGGAGGATTTTTCCCCAAAAATGCTTTACACTCTTGATTTTTGCTCCATTTTTTCTTGTTGCTGTGAAATTTAATCGTGTTTTCTAGCCCTTTAGGCCTCACAAAGTCCAGCAGCTGCATTCTCATCTGGCTTGAAAGCTTATCCGCATACTTCTGAACCCCAAACAGGGATCGAGCCTGAGAGCCTCTCTGATTAAATGAAGTAAACCAAGCCCAAGAGACAGCTTCAGAAGCCCTTTCCACTATGCATAAGGGAGATTGCCCATGATAAAACACATCAGGGCAGACAAATGCATTTAGAAAAATCTCCCCTTGAGTCTTACAGGTGAACCAGCACTGTAAGAAACACGAGCTCAGCTTTGCACATGCATTAATATTGGGTTTATTTTAATGCACAGAGATTTAAATTGGCTGCAGTACAATTCTAGTGCACACTGCAGTGCCTTTTGCAAGGAGAGCATGTCTTAGCATACAGACAACAGTGATTTGCTGTAGTACAGAGAAGCTAAGAAAACCCTGTATTCCCTCCAGTCTGGTTCTATCTATTTAGCTTGTCTAACACAGAAACCATGATGCTAATCTGTCTATTTATCCCTCCTAACAGTGCAGCCGTGTTGCTATTATGGTACTTAATCCTTCAGCATAATTCACATAGTTGTCAGATAACAAGGCAGAATGGCCAGGTGGTAGCAATGCATCTATTTGGTATGGACTCTCTCGGAATACACAAGCTAAATTATTCCTCTTCATCTCGCCCTACCGCTGATAGCACCTTCCCATGATATTAGTCTATTTTTAACCATTTTAAATACATGTATCTTCACCCAGGAGGCATGGTGGTGGTAGTATCATCATTTGGGAGAAAGGAAACAGAGGAACGGAGATAAATACTCACAAAGCCTGTTGTCAGGCAGCGACTTGAACCTGGCCGGTGTGGTAATTCAGGATGTGTGTCCATCAGCAACCCAGGTGAGATGGGAGAGCAGCTCAGAGTAAGTCTCACACAGCCCTTCCTCTCCCCACCAGGTGTGGTTCAGCAACCGAAGAGCGAGGTGGCGCAAACAGGCAGGAGCAAACCAACTTGCGGCTTTCAATCACCTGCTGCCGGGGGGTTTCCCACCAACCCATACCAACTGCCGGACTCCACCTACCCAACGACCACCATTTCCCAAGGTGAGCACCCCTTCGCCGGCACTGCTCCTCTTCTCTTGCCCTACCTCAGCCCATTGTCCCTTCCCTTTCCGATTCATGGCATCCCAATGAGGCTCTTGTAATAGGAGGTTTTCCTTTAAATGAGGAGGCCAAGTTTTTCCTCAAGTCACTAGAAACTCCATGTTTTTCTCCTCTGTCATGTGCTGTGTCAATGTGTCTCATGACTGTATTGTTCTGCTTTGAAACGGAGAGTACATCAGTCCAAAGTGAGTATCATACGGATGCTTGTTCTGGATAAAGCCCCATACTGGGGCTCAGTGGAAGCAGTATTGCTAATTCGAGTTGGCTTTGGCCTTGGCCTTTACAAGGGAATTTATGGCTTCTGGCTGGGGGGAAAATTAAGAAAAAATTGAGCTATTTCATCCCAGGTTTGCATATTTTGCACTGTGCATAAGCTGTTGCGTGATCTGCTTGTGCTCACCTGAAGCACAGAGCTGGTGGGACAAAGAAGCTGTGACAAGGATAGCCAAACTATCAATCCAGGCTTTGCACAGTCCCAGTTCTAATACCTCTGACCGCTCTCTCCACAGACGGGGGAAGCACTGTACACAGACCCCAGCCCCTGCCGCCATCCACCATGCACCAAGGGGGGCTTGCCGCAGCCGCCGCTGCAGACACTGGCTCTGCCTACGGGGCCCGACACAGCTTCTCCAGCTACTCGGACAGTTTCATGAATGCTGCAGCTCCTGCCAACCACATGAATCCTGTTAGCAATGGCCTCTCTCCACAGGTATGTGACCCGCTTCCATTCTCTCTCGTTGGCTGACAGTATCTGGCTGGTTCAGAGCCTCTGAGAGCAGGGCAAGCTTCAGGCTATCACAGTGTATTATGGTTAACAAAGGAGTTATTGTCATGAATTCTTGGAGACAGCCTAGTTAAGGTAATTAGTTAATTTGTTTGTCGGCAGTATCTCTGTCCTGGGCTCAGCACTATACTGCCGGAGCATTTGTATCCTGTTAGTTCCCATATTCAGGGTAGTCCACTGGAATTGCAAACACCAGCACCTAGAGCATCAGAGTTCATCTTCTCAGCCCTCCAAAAAAATTCCAGTGCAGATGTGGGCCTTTCGATTGTGAATTTTAGCCTAATGACAGCACGTTTGACTTTTTTAGTTACTTTTTGTTAGTTACTTTTTTAGAAGTAGCCCATGATTTGTGGGCAACTGATCTAGAGATTAGCTGAAGCCAGCTTGTCCAAGTCCGGTTGGAAGGCAGAAAGCCCTCACTTAAGTGCCATGGATCTGAGCTTCCTCAAAATGCAGGGATGTAGATCTGGGATTTAGTTTTGAGAAACTAATTGTCATGTCAACAGTTCTGCTAATACTTTCCACAAGGTCAGAATAAGATGTGTAGGTAAGCTTCAAAGGAGGGAAAGGTACATTTCACACGTAACTTGTTTGTGTAAAAAATGGAGTGTGTGTGTTTTAAGTTTACAAGGCAACGGCCATGGCCTTCCGATCGTGTGAGTGCTTTTTCAGCGCTGCATGTGACAGAGAAGCAACCTCAGCAGCGTAGAGAGGTTAAAGCCTCCATCACCAGCGGGTCTAGAGAGAGCAGAGCCCGTGCCACATGTGTGTTATGGGTGTAGCTTTAGGTTCTCAGCTGGTGAGCTCCACTGAAGTCAGTGCCAGGATGCACACCACCTGAGAATACAGCCCACACTCTACCACTGTCCTGGGATAAGGATTCTGATTGTCCGCCACCTCCTTAGATAGAGCCTTTAACCTTCTCTTTGCTTTATTTGATGTAATCTTTTTTCTAAATACGCATTTGCTTTTAAGTGGAACGAGGCACATCCTGTGTGCTGAAAATTAACAGCAAGGACTTGTATTCACGTGGTGCCTGCCACCCTGGAAGGGCACCAAATGCTTTACTTTTGCTCTCAGTTGCTTGTGAAATACGGAGACATCTGAAGTGCACTGTAACAGTTGTTCCAGAGTGGCCAGTAACACTGTTTAAGATAGGAAGTGCAAAATAATTTGAAACTACAGGCAGAAATTAGGTAGGCATCTGAAATGAAAAGGCTACAACTGTTTAGAGGGGAGTCCAATAAACGAGGACATCAGAGAGGTATATAGATTTTAAGGTCAAATACCTCGTGATCTCTGGAGTGTGAAAACAAACATTGAGTGGCATTGGAAAGAGGGAAATTTTGCAGCTTCTCTGAAATGGTATAAAAATCTCACTTCTATCTTTGAATGGTCATAAGACAGAAAATGTAGAAGTGTGACTGACATGAGGCTGAATATTGCCTCAAACAGTGTAATTTGTGGGGGAAATAGGGAGACATCTTTCTGACAAGGGATTTCTAATAGCACTCATCTTGGGAGATGAGCATATAGTACAGAATTCAAAGGCAGGCTGCAGGTTAGATGGTCCAGGGGACGCGATTAATTCAGATTATCACAAGTGCAATTTAGCACCATAGAGTAAGTTAAGGATGAGATCCACGTGATAAGCTGCACAAGCACTAGACATATACAGGTCCATCATGCAATTTCCATTTCTGTAGCTTCATCATCTACTTACTAGTCTTGCTCACTAAATCAGAGGCTCATTGAAATGACCAGACCAACGCTTTTTCTATGCTTATCCCTATCCCAAATTACCCTGCCCCCAGGCTCAGGCTAGGGGAAGATAGAGTCCTGAGCCAATAAGCCCTTTGTATGGGAAAGAGAGGATACATTATCTGGCAGTCCTGAAGAAAAGAGAGCTTTGCACCCCCAAGAAGGGGAGATTCCCATTTTCCTAATGCTTTTAATCATGTGAGGGCCAAGATATCAGCATATAAATTCTTCTATTTCTTTTTTGCATAGAAGGGCTAACGCAGGTTATTTTATGACTGCTTTATATTTACTTATCTTGCTACCTTCATCCCTTCAAAGCTCTCTGCTGTTCCTAGTGGAAGGATGCAAGAAATACTCCTAACAGCATGCATGGGAGCTCGTAGATGTGTCCTTTTTTATGTAGTGGGGTGTGTAGAAGTTTTGCAAGGTCTCGATGTGGGATGCTTATAACTTATTAATAACTTATTTGTGCATAACTCAACTACTCCACGGCATTACAGGTAAACCCCATTGCACCTCAAACCCTCTCATCCTCCCGTCCAGCTACGTGTGATGTCTGGTTGCTCTCTGCAGGAGTAAATATCAACTACAGAGAAGGAGGGAGTTCAGGAGGTAGAAAAAAAAAAAAATTGGGAACTTAAAGTGATGGCAATTTGTCTGAGCTGCAAACAGACAGTTCTCTGGTTTCATCCCTTAGCAGCAGCAGGAGGGAGATTTCTTTGCAGTTTAGACAAGGAGGTGGGGGCCAGCCTGGCCGAGAGCTCCCAGCATTTGCCACTGCTCGGCACGCTATCCAGTTACCCCGGGATTGGGTGTCCCGGCAGAGTCCACCAGACGGGCTCGGTGCTGGCAGCTGAAATTCTAGAGGAGAAGCATGGCATTTCCATTCTCACAACAGAGAAAAGGGGATTACGTTTGGCCTCTGCGGGCTCGGTCCCCCCACGCACTTCAGTCCTCCCCCTCCTGACAGAAAGAGCAGACACTGCTGGAAGTTTTACCCAGGCTTCACGTGGGAAATGGCCACATTTCTTGCTTGCTTTCCAGCCTGTAGCACACAAAGCCTTGTGTCTGTCCAGCCCTGCTGCTGGATCTCTAAAGCATTTCCCATGAGGTTTCCGAGGCCGTTCTGCCCCTATTCCAGACCTGAGACTGCCGAGGAGTGAGAGGTCAGCTGGGAATTTTTGTCTTCATCTACTTCATCCCATGATGATGTTTTTTTTTGTGACACCTCATACCGGAACACCGACTTGGTTGCACAAAGGGTAGTCCCGCGTGGTTAAACCACTATGTAGCATGTTCTCTCGTGTCATACTCCTTCCCAGACCTTAGCAAGAGACCTCAGGGTAACCCGAGCAGTGATTTGTGATGGTTCCGTGCTGGGACAGACTTTGTAGGAGAGAGGTCTTGCTCCGAGTGTTGCCCGTTTGAGAAAGTGAACTTCCCAGGCCGGCCAGCTGCAGGCAGATGAGTCGCCTCGCATCTGTCAGGATGCACGGGGTGGCTGCAGCGGGCACAGGTTATCGGAAAGTACAGCAGCGGGGAGCAGGAACACGCAATGACAAGGTCCTCGTCGCTCCCCGAAGGTCGCGTGGGTTAGCAGCTGCTGTCACAGGTTCAGCTGGGCTAACTCAGTGCCTTGCAACTGCCTCCGGGCTGGCATTAACACCTGTGCTAAAACGTAGCCGTGAGGTAGAGACCCGAAGCAAAGTTAAATATGAGGAGTGAGTAACGAGTTAGCAGTCATACGGAGAGGGATTTCTGGCTGTGGAGCTTCTGTCTCATCATTTCTCACAAGAGTGGGTTGTAAACCAAGTGTGTGCGTGGGATTTCATAAATATATGTAAATATTTCCAACTTATTTTCATCCCACAGAGGAATCGTTTCCCATTTATTTGAGAATGAATTACCAACCTCACCTAGAACAAGGCCAGGCACCAGGACATCCTTAGCCAGGTCGTGCTTCACGCTGGCAGGCAGAACAAACTGCATCCCTCCGTTGTGAAGTTCAGACCTGTGCTAGCTGAGTATTGCCCGTCACTGTGACTGGGGAAAGGCTTGGGACAAACAGCTCAACCTAATGGTAAACTCACTATTAAATCCAGTTACATCCTGATCGGCGTCTGACGGTCCTTCAAGAAATGTGTGTGCTGCGGTGCGGGCTGAGGCAGGAGGAAACGAAGCCAATTAAGCAGTACATTATAAGTCAACATAAAGAGCAAAGTGGGGGCCATATCTGACTGTACCTCTGTCATTTGTGATGGTGGGATATTCCCTGGGTGCTTTTGAAAGAGCAAACAAGTAGGGCCATGCTGTGTTCCACGCTGCTTGCATCTCTTACACACCTGACTTTTAAAATGTCTTCATGCTTTTTTAGGTGGATTTGGTCCGTTGTTTCGCCTCCTAAAATTTCTGCTGCCCTTTTACATCCAGGCCTTCACCTGAAATGTGTCTGACCATTCACTGAAGCATGTTGGGGTCTTGCAAGGGGTTATTGAAAAGCAAATGGTCATTAGTTTGTTGCAGGTGGCCTCTGTCTAGCTGGAGAACATATTAACGTATAGTTAAAGAGTCAGGCGTTTCCTATACTTTGATAACATGTTATTACTGGGACTTTTGAATCTTTTAACAAACCTACAGGATCACCCAGAGATTAAGACGATTCCAGAAATATGAAGAGCCAAGAGAAACTTGTTCAACCTCTTGTATTTATTGCTTTAATTTTCTCAGGGCTTTTGGTGGCTTTTTTTTGCTCCATGGGCTAATTCATTCCCAGTGTAATGGCAGTGTCTGAAGGTTGGAGTCAGATTTTACAATTTCTGGCTTATCACTGTTTCTTGATAGTGTTCCTGGAGGGACACTCAAGGCACAGGTCGGGCTCTGCCCACAGATTTGCACTCTAATCTCAGGAACCTCCTTGGTCTGTACAGCTGTAGGACAGTTTTTTTTTTCCCGACACCATCTCCATTTTCTTCCACTGTCCAGGGTAATGTTTTCCTCAGCCTCACTGGGCTGGGATTAGAGATCATCTGAATCCCTGTCAGGAGCACGCTGATCGTGGCAGAAGCGTGGGAAGAGCCAGCTGAGCCCTTTTTTTTTTTGAGGGGGGAAACCTGGCAATTGGGACAGACACGATGTTAGCTGGCGAGAGGGGAGAAGGCATCGCG